AGTGAGAGGGACCTGCAGGAGCTCTCTCCTTCATTTGTGTCCTAGGTTATCAGGTCAGTCTTAGGGCCCTGTGCAGAACTGAGTCAGAACTTCAAGAGTGATCTGACTCATGCTGGGCAGGCAAAGTAGAAAAGTCACCTTGCTCATTCCAGAACATCTGCCACTATTAATCTAAACTCAAGTGGTTTTGTTGTGTTTGTGTGTTTTTTTCTTTTCTTCTCAATTACTGTAAATTCTATTGCAATAGGATTGTTATCATATTTGTTTAGGCCACTATCTTTTTTTCTTCACTGATTTGCTATATTCTGCCCCCTATTTCCTTTGACTCCCCTCCAGTCCCTAGGAGAGTAATCTCTTCAAGTAAACATACTTTTAAAGTTCTTTAATTCCAAACTTTCTCTTTTTTATATCACTTCTTGGGATAATATACCTGGCTCCCAAGCAGTCAGCTGGCTGCTTCATATTTATTCACATTTTGGTCTAAATTATTATTTTTCATGCAGAAATTCAAACAAAGGAGGAAAACACAGGACATATGTGATAAAATTTTAGGTAAACCACAAACTTTAAAATATGCCCAAGAAATGACATAACCACTGCTGAGAGGAAATAAGGTGCCAGCAAAGAGAAAGACTGTGGTTGTCCTTTCACAGCTGCTTTTCTCTGATGTTACAATAAAAAAAAAAACTATTTAGACATCTGCACGCAACTCCGGGCAGAGTGAACCAAGTGTCTCTAGAATTGAAACCATAGAATAATGTGTGTCTTATACCAAGAATTTAAAAAAACTTTTATCTCTCTATATTTTTTCTATTGTCAGAGTAGAAATAATATCTTTGCTTCAGAGACAATATTTTATAAAACATTTTATGAAGCCAGCAGTTAATATTGAAAACATAAAAACATTAAAAGAAAGTGAAAACACAGGTCAATTATCTTTCATGAATCTACAAACAAAATCCTCAACTAAACAGGGGCAAATTAAATTAAAAAATGTACAGAAGTATACAGCATGACCAAGTAGGCTTTATTTCAGGTATAAAAGGCAGGTTCAACATTCAAAAATCAAGAAATGTAGCCTATTTTGTCAACAAGATTAAGAAGTAGAAGCATAAGATCATGTCGACTGACAGGAAAAAAATGTGACAAAGTTCAACACCCACTAATGATAAACATTCTGATGAAACAAATGGGAATTTCTTCAACTTGATAAGAATGCCTACAAAACAAAAACTGCTGCTAACATCATATGTCATGATGAGAGATGAGGTACTTCCCCCTTTATGATCACAAACAAGGCAAGCATGTCCACTCTCACAACTTTATTCAACATTGCATTGGGTGTTCTAGCTCATGCAAGAAGACAAGAACAAAAAACAAAAAGAATACAGATTGGAAAAGAAGAAACAACATTTTCTTTTCACGAGATGACATGATTGTCTGGTTAGACAACCCCCCAAAGTCAGAATTAAAATAATTGGAAATAAGTGTATACAGAAAATTTGTAGGATACAAGGTTAATATATAAAAATCAATTGCATTTGCATATGCTGTCAACAAACAACTAAAATTTAACATTTAAAGTATCATTTACAATAGCACAAAAATAAAAGTAAGTGTAAATATATCAAAATGCATACAGAATCTGTTTTTCAAAAATTGTAAAACACTGATAAAATACAAACAATAAAAAAAAATCAGTGGAGAGATATTCTATGTTTATAGATTGAAAGATTCATTATTGCAAGATGTTAATTCTTTCCAATTTCATATATAGATTGCAATCCCAAACAAGTCTCTTCAAATTATTTTGCAGGTACTGTAAACTGGTTCTAAAACTATAGAAAGTCAAAAGATCAAGAACAGTTTCCTCACATTGAGGAAAAACAAAGTTGGAGGACTCACTACCTGATTTAAAGACTCACTATAAAGCTAAAGTAATCAAGACAGCATGGTATTGGTGAAAAAATAGACATATAGATCAATAGAACAAAATGGAGATCTGAAAAGTAGAACAGTTTTAATACGGTAGACTCATCTTTGAGAAAGACACAAAGGCAATACAGTAAAGAAAGGATATCTATATATCTATATCTATATCACCTATATCTATATCTATATCTATATTTATATCTATCTATATAAACCCAGAAATGGTGCTGGAATATACACATATATATTCTGGAATTTATGTATATATGCTAGAATATATATGTGCTATTCTAGCATATATATGTATACATATATATGCATATATGTATGTATATACATATATATACATACATACACACACACACACAGAAATGGTGCCGAAATCATTGAATGTCTATATGTCAAAAAAAGAAAAAAGAACCTTGACACACATAAGCTTTACACTTTCAACAAAAAGTAATTAAAAAATAATCATAGAACAAAATGTAAAAGCAAAACTCTAAAGCTTCTAGACAAAAACAGAAGTATGTCTGCATAACCTTGATTTGGTGAAGAATTTTTTTATTCAACACCAAAAGTACTATTCATAAAGTAAAATGTTAGACTTTATTTAAATTGAAAACTTCTACTCTAATAAAAGCACTTTTAAAAGAATAAAAAGATAAGCCAAGGACTAGTAAAAAGTATTCGCAAAACACATGTCTGATAGAAGGACTTGTATTAAAAATATACTAAGAACTCAATGCTTAACAACAAGAAAACAAACAAGTGAACAGAAAATTTGGCAAAAGATCTTAAAATATACTGTTTTAAAGAAAATATACAGAAGTACATTTAGCACATGAAAAGGTACCCAATATTACCCGTCATAGGGAAATGAAAATTAAAACATGGAACTGCAACTAGACACCTATTAGAATGCCAAAATGTAAAAACAAAAACCAAAAAAACTGAGAATACTGATTGCTGGTGAGGTTGGGAGTGACAAGAACCCTAAGTTACTGTTGATGGAAATGCAAAATGGTATAGCTACTTCAAAAGGCAGTTTGCAGTTTCTTACAAAACTAAACATAGTCTACCATGTAATCCAGCAACTACCCTCTTATTTACCTGATTTTAAAACTTCCATGCATGCAAAAGCCTGCCCATGAACATTTAGAGTAGAATGATTCATAATTTACTCAGCTGGAAGCAGCCAAGATGTCCTTCAATAGATGAATAAATGAGAAAACTGTAATATATATACAGGATGAAAACAGCCAAAAAAGGAATAATCTATAAATCTTAAATGTATATTTCATATTGTAAAAAACAGCCTGAAAAGACTTCTGTATACTTTCATTTACATGACATCTGGATGAAGCAAAAGTGTAGAGAAGATTTGGGAGTAGGGTTGAAAAGTGACCCAAAGTGGATTTTATTAGGGGAGTGAACCTATTCTGTACAATACTGTAATGGTGGATTCATGACGTTAAGCTGGGAACTTCCAGAGCTCAGAGCTTTATGGTAGAAAGACTGAACCTTAACGTATGCAAATAATTTTGGAGGCTGTGAGCCCCAGGTATGGAATAAAAAACTTCCAGAAGAATCTGAACATATAGTAAATGTATGAAACAGCCTCACTGAAGGGTGTGGGGGTAAAGTTTGCTGATCCTAAGCAACCTTAGACATGAGAAGTCTTAACTTGTAGGACTAATGACAAAAGAAGTGTACATAAACACTGTAGTTGATAAAGTAATTCTCTACAAGGTATGGATGGGAAAACAATTCCGAACCACTAAATATGTATCCTGGAAATGAACGATTAAGTAAATGAATAGTGATGGTAGTAGATTTGTTTCTCCCTCTTGGTATGGGGGATCATGCACATGCAAGGAGGAGGCTAGCATGATCCTTGTTGTAATGTACAGGGGTGAACAAAGGTAGGTTTATGGTTGTCCCTTTGGAAAAAGCCTTGCAGGTTAAATTAACAGCCATCATCACCCAAAAGATATATCATATGTACTCACAACTGTAAACCTTTTGCCCATCTCTGTATTAGAGTTGGAGACATTAATATGAACTCATTGATCCAACTGAAGGCATTTCCAATGGCTATAATTGGAACAATGTGAGCAATATAATAAATAAAAGAGTATTGAATTGTAACTTGAAATGTAAAATAAATATGAATGAGTTTTTAGTGATATAAATGATTGAATAAATAAATGAGAGAATAGAAATATGCCCTCAAAAATTTTTAAATAATTATATAGATACCCTGACTTCAAAGAGGTGGAGCATAACTCTCACCTTCTTAAGTGTGGGCTGCACATCTTGGCTTTCTACCAAAGAATACAATATAGAAATTGGGACAAGAGTAACTTTACAGTTGATAAACTTGACGAACACTACCATAGCCAAGTGACTGAAGTTAACAACAGATAAGCAGTCATAAGCCATGTTGATAGTATGTACCCTTCATAAGATGTGATAAAAATGGCAATTTATCTTTGTAGTCTTCCTTTGAAAACTTATAACCTGTGTAATGATGAGAAAAACAGACTACCTTACCATAATTTGAGAACAGTATACAAAATATTTAACATTCCTCAAAAATTTCAAAAATCATCCAAAAATAAGAAAAAAGTAAGAAACTGTCACAGCCAAGATTTTCCTAACAAGACTTGAGGACTATTACATGAAAAGAATGGAATTTTGACTAGAAAAAGCATGAGGTAAAAACTAAGAAAAAGGTATTAGTTAAAAAGTGAATAAGAATTGAATAGACTTTAATTAATATTAAGCTAACAATGTTGATTTATTAATTTTGACAAATGTACCATACTAATATAACATAATAATAAGGGTGTTGGGTATGTGGAAACTCTCTATGTTATCTTCACAATTTTTCTATAAATCAAAACTATACTAACAGAAAACGTTTATTTAGAGAATGAGAGGTCCTTCACTCTAACCATATCCTTTGTGGTTTTACAGCTAGCTTTAGGGTTTGTGTCAGTGCCACGGCTCTTACACACAAATGCTGCTTTTGATTAGGTGATGTCGCTCTTTCCATCAAATTCAAATATGGATTATTCTATTTATAGGACATTTGGACTAGAGGAAAGTACAGAGAGACCCACGACTCAGAAGCCAAAGAAACATCCCAGTCGTTGCAAACACAAGTGGATGTGCAAAGGTAAGAATCTATCATCTTTCATTAGACCACAGATTATAAAGCTAGGATTATTTATGGGTCTTTGAATCCTAGGTTTTTAATGACAGAGCTTTTAAGAATTTGAACTAAAGTCTATTTTTCAAAAAACTTATTATCTTATTTTGAAATAACATGCTTACGCAGATGTCTATGCACCAGGTTATGTGGTTTCCTATCTCTGTAACCCTCACATCTAGCACAGTTCCTGCCATGTAGTTATATGTTTATAGACTCTATTAAACAAAATGTAATAGATAAAATTTTACTTGTGTTGAAGATTGTAAAGGTGTTATAATGATTGTTTTATTGAAGCAAAGTATGTAATTGTAAAGACTAGCATTTGAGTTTTGTTTCATGAGTTGGTATTAAATACAACGTCATTTCGAACAATGTTTGGGAAGATGGCTACAATATTTAATCTTGCTTATGTTTCTCCATTAGACACTTGTTTTTACTATTATTCAATTATTTTAGTACAACTTATGTTTCATCTTCTTGGGCTTCAATCACACTGAATATTATCTGTATAATTTAGTAAAAATGTAAATGAAGGTGAAGTGACAAATTTTAGCTGAAATGTTTTGACTAACCAATTGATCAGTTTATATGGACCCATTTGTTGGATAAATGGTAGTTTTGGAACAGAAGTGTTTACATAAGAAGGACATTTAATTAAATAAAACATTGACCCTTACTTTAGAATCAATAAATCTCTTTAATGATAATTAAGTATATGTTCATGTCAAGGTAATTTAAACAGAGATTGTAGATTTCTTCTCCCATCATCAGGCAATGAACTTACATTTCTATGACACATTTTCACTTTCATTTTAAATACCTAAATATTTCAGAGAGAAAAATTATCATTACAGATTACCCTGAGTGTCCAAAGTGGCATCGGACTGCTCTGAGACTGGTCAGCATTGCACTGGTTATACTTGTTGCTGCAGTGATAGGACTAACTATTTGGGGTAAGTAAGTTAAAAGTTATCTAAGTATATAGATGAACATATTTCCTTTGGAGTTTACCTTTATTTCTCTCATGTTGTCAGATAATTTTTCACATTTGCCCGATGATTTCTTTCATTGTTATTTCAATTATACTGGTAGTAAATGACACAACTGATGATTTCATTAATAATTAGTAGATTTTCCCTATAGAAAGGAGGCAGTAAACTATTTAGAAAGCCTACCCTGCTCATAACTTTAACTATTTGGTAAATAGCATGGGCTTGGCAGTCACAATTGTATCAAATGAAGTTTTAAACCTTGGTAAAATTACTTAGCTTTATGAAAGCTGACTTGGCCCTTTTAATAAAATCTTTGATTTCAAAAGTGACTACATATTTTGAAGTTTTGACAAAATTTATCAGATGTTTGAAAATTGAAGGCCAAGTAAAGTTAAAGACTTATTCCTACAAAGGTCGTTCTTAGAGCACCCAGTGCTAGTGATAAAAAAGACTGTGCATGGGGTCTCACAGCACACCTACTACACAAAGTCACCTACCAAAGCTGGGGGTCATAGCATATCAACCTGACACATAGAAACAAATGCAAAGAGGCAGCCAAAGTGGGGAGACAAAGAAACATGCCCAAATGAAAGAACCAGAGAAGTCCCCAGAAAAAGAGCTAAATGGAGGCAAGCAATTTACTGGACATAGAGTTCAAAAGAATGGATATAAGGATTCTCAGAGAACTTAGTGAGAACCAAAAGCAGAAGATTGATTCAGCAAGTTGGAAAATAAGGTGGGAAAAAACACCAATCAGAGCAGCAAAAGAAAAAATAATTTTAAAAAGTGAGAATAGTTTAAGGGATATTTTGGACAACATGAAGTGAACCAACATTCACATCTTAATGGTACCAGAAGGAGAAGATTGTGAAGCAAGGGACTGAGAACCTATTTGAAAAAACAATGACCAAAAACTTCTGTAACTTGATGAAGGATGACACACAAGTCCTGGAAGCACAAAGAGTTCCAAACAGGATAAACCAAAAACGGCCTACACAAAGATACATAATACTTAAAACAGTTAAGGTTAAAGACAAAGAGAAAATCTTAAAAGCCACAAGAGGAAGACAGTATTTACCTACAAGGGAGCTCTCATAAGATTGTCATCTGATTTCCCAACAGAAGCATTCAGACCAGAGGGATTGGCAAGAAATATTTAAAGTGATGAAAAAAGCAAGGACCTACAATTAAGATATCTTTACTCAGCATGGATATCATTTGAAATTGAAGGACAAGTAAAGAGCTGCCCAGACCAAAAGAAAAAAAAAACTAAAGGAGTTTGTTATCACTAAACCAGTATTACAAAAATATCAAGGGGTCTCTTTTAAGAAGAATAAGAAAAAAACAGAAACATACTTAAAAGAATAAAATGACAATAAATGCATACATATCAGTAATTACTTTAAATGTAAATGGCTTAAATGCTACAACCAGAAGACACAGGGTAGCTAAATGGATAAGAATAAGGCCTGTTTGTTTACATGCAGTCTACAAGAAATTCACCTCAGAATGAAAGATACACACAGATTAAAAGTAAAGGGATGGAAAAAGATATTTCATGCAAATGGAAATGAAAAAGAAAAGATGGAGAGGTAATTATACCTCACAAAGTACTCTTTAAAACAAATGTTATAGCAAGAGACAAAGAAGGATACTGCATAATGGTAAAGGGAGCAGTCCAACAAGAGGATATAATCCTTGTAAACATGTATGCACCTTATGTACGAGCACCTAAACACATAAAGCAAATATTGATGGGAATAAAAGGAGAGATTGGCAGTAATACAGTTATAGTAGGGGATTTTAACACTTCTTTGGCACCAATGGATACAGCTTCCAGACAAAAAAGTCAACAAAGAAAGAATGACCTTAAATGACACACTAGATCAGATGGATGTAACTGATATCTTCAGAGCATTTTACCTGAAGCAGCACAACATACATTCTTTTCAAGTGCACATGCAATATTTTCTATAATAGACCATGCATTAAGACACAAAACAAATCTCAATAAATTTAAGAAGATCAAATTAAATTAACCAGCTTCTCTGACCATAATGATATAAAATTTGAAGTGAATCACAAGAAAAAAATGAAAACCATGCAAAAAATTAAAGAATAACTTGGTAGTAATCAATGAATGGGTTAACAATTGTATCAAAGAAGAAATCAAAAGATGCCTTGAAAAAATTAAAATGAGAACACAACCACCAAACTCTATGGGGCTCAACAAAAGCAGTCCTAAGAAGGAAATACATAACATTAGAGGCCTACTTTAAGAAATAAGAAATACCTCAAATAAACAATCTACACTTCAAGGAACAAGAAAAAGAACAACAAACAGAGCTCAAAGTGAGTAGAAGAAAGGAAATAATAAAGATCAGAGAAGAAATAAATGAACTAGAGTCTAAAAAGCAATACAAAATAACAATTAAACCAGAGCTAGTTCTTTGAAAAGATAAACTAGATTGAAAAATCTTTAACCAGACTTGCCAAGAAAAAAAGGGAGGATCTAAATAAATAAAATCAGAAAAGAAAGGGGAAAAGTAATAATTTACTACACAGAAATACAACAGATTGTAAGAAAATATTACAAACAACTATATGACAACAAGTTGGACAATCTGGATGAAATAGATACATTTCTAAAAACATACAATTGTCAAAAGCTGAATTAAGAATAATAAAATAATCTGAGTGGATAGATTATGACTAGTGAAATTGAAGCAGTAGAAAGCAAACAAACAAGCAAAAACTTCCAACAAACAAAAGTGCTGCACTGGGTGGCTTCACAGAAGAATTTTACCAAGCATTCATTCAAAAAAGAAAACTATTGACAAGAGGAGAGAGGGGAGGGAATTTCAGGAGAATTTCAGGGGAAAAAGGGAAGGGTATACAGGAACAAGTATAAATATACATGGACAAAAACTAGGAGGGGTGAAAATGGGAGGAAGTGGGGAGGGTAGGCTGGGATGGGAGTAAAGGACAGAAAACTGTACTTGAACAACGATTAAAATAAAATAAAAAAAAACGCTATTTTTCTCAAATCCTTCCAAAAACTGTAAGAAGAGAAAAGACTCCCAAGCTCATTTTATGAAGCTAACATTACTAAAATTCCAAAACCAGATAAAAAACTACAAAGAAAGAAAATTATAGGCCAATAACCTTGATGAACATAAATGCTAAAATTCTCAACATATTAGCAAACCAGATCCAGCAATACATTATAAACATCATATGCCACAATCAAGTAGGATTTATTCCTGGAATACAAGGTTGGTACAATATATGCAAATCAATAAATGTGAAACACCACATAAACAAAATGAATAAAAATTACATGATCACATCAATAGATGCAGAAAAAGCATTTGATAAAATCCAGCATCCATTTATGATAAAAACTCTCAGTAAAATGGGACTAGAGGAAACATACCCCAACAAATAAAGGCCATATATAACAAACCCACAGCTAACCTCATAGTCAATGGGCAAAAACTAAAATCATTTCCATTAAAGATCAGAAACAAGAGTAGAATGTCAGCTTATACTGCTCTTACTCAACATAGTCCTGGAAGCCTTAGCCACAGCAATCAGACAATAAGAAGAAATAAGAGTCATCAAAATTGCAAAGGAAGAAGTAAAGCTGTCATTATTTGCAGATGACATGATACTGTATATAGAGAGTCCTAAAGATTCCACTTGAACTGCAATCTACTTGAACTGATAAATGAACTGAGTAAAGAAGTAGGATACAAAAAAATATGCAGAAATGAATTACATTTCTATATGCCAATAATAAACTATCTGAAACAAAAACTAAGAAAACAATCCCACTTATGATTGCATTAAAACATGCTTAGGAATAAAATTTAACCAAGGATGTAAAAAACCTGTACTGGGAAATTATAAGACATTGAAGAATAAAGTTAGAGAAAGTACAAATAGGTGAAAGCATATACAGTGTTCATTAATAGAAGAATTAACGTCATTAAAATGTCTATACTACCCAAAGCAATGTATAGATTCAACACAATTTTTATCAAGATACTAAATGGCCTATTGCACAGAACTAGAACAAATATTCCAAAAAATTATACAGAATCACAAAAGACCTAGAATATTCTCAGCAATCTTGAGAAAGAAGGAAAAAGTTTGAGGAATCATGCTATCTTAAATAAAAGTGTATTATAAGACCACAGTAATCAAAACAGCATGGTACTGGCATAACAACAGACATATAGATCAATGGAACTGAATAGAGAGCCCAGAAATAAACCCATGTCTCTATGGTCAAATAATATTTGACAAAGAGGGCAGCAGCATAAAATGGAGTAAAAATAGCATCTTAAACAAATGGTGTTGGGAGATCTGGACAGCTACAGGCAAAACAATGAAACTATCACTAACTTACACTGTAACAACAACAACAACAAATCTCAAGATGGATAAAAGACTTTGGTATAAGTGATGACACCATAAAAGTTCTTAGAGGACAACCTAGGCTGGAAAATCTCAGATATTCCATGCAGCAATATTTTCACCGATATGTCCCCTAGAGCAAGGGACATAAAGGAAAGAATAAACAAATGGGATTTCATTAAATTAAAATGCTTCTGTACAGCTAGAGAAAACATCGGCAAAATGAAAAGGGAACTAACCATATGGGAAAATATATTTACCAATGATGCCTCGGACAAGGGTTTGATCTCCAAAATATGTAAAGAACTCATGTGAATTCACACCAGGAAGACAAACAATCCAATTAAAAAATAGGCAAAAGACCTGAACAGACGTTTCCCAAAGGAGGACATATGGAAGGTCCAGAGACATATGAAAGGACATTCAACATCACTAGCCATCAGAGAGATGCAAATTAAAACCACAATGAGATACCACTTCATACTGGTCAGAACGGCCATCATAAACAAATCAACAAATAAGTATGGGAGAGGATGTGAAGGAAAGGGAACCCCTAGTGCACTGTTGGTGGGAATGCAGACTGGTGCAGCCACTGTGGAAAATAGTATGAAATTTACTTAAAAAAATAAAAATGGAACCATTTTTTGTCTTGGTGATTCCACTGCTGGGATTATATCCTAAGATTCCTGAAACACCAGTTCCAAATAATCTATGCACCCCAATGTTCATAGCAGCATTATTTACAATAGTCAAGTGCTGGAAACAGCCGAAGTGCCCATCAGTAAATGAATGGATCAAAAAACAGTGGTAGAGTTACACGATGGAATACTACACAGCAGAAAAGAAGAAGGAACTCCTATCCTTCATGACAGCATGGATGGAACTGGAGAGCATTATGCTAAGTGAAATAATACAGGTGGTGAAAGACAAATACCATATGATCTCACCTGTAAGTGGAGTCTAACCAACAAAACAAACAAGCAAGCAAAATACAACCAAAGACATGGAAATAAAGAACACATGGACAGTAACCAGAGGGGAGGGGGATAATGGGGCTTAGAAGGGGAAGGGTGGTCAAGGAACATGTATAAAGGACCCATGGAAAAAGACAATGAGAGTAGGGGAGGATTGAATGTGGGAGGTGGGGGTAGGTAGGGTGGGAGAGAGTAATAGAGGGAATGAGGACAACTGTAATTGCACAACAATAAAAAATTATAAAATAATAGTGTCTAATATATTAACATAAAATAAAATAAAATCACAATAAGATATCACCAAGGAACAAATGTTGGGGAGGATGTGGAGAAAAGGGAACCTTCAAGCACTGTTGGTGGGAATGCAGATTGGTGCAGGCACTGGGGAAAAGAGTATGGAGTTACTCAAAAAAATTAAAAATAAAACTGCCTTAGGACCCAGTGATTCCACTTCTGGAAATATATCCAAAGAAATGCAAAACACTACTTCAAATGAATATATGCACCCTTATGTTCATTGCATTGTTATTTACAACAGCCAAGATTAGAAGCAGTCCAAGTGTCTGTCAGTGAATGAGTGGATAAAAAAGCTGTGGTATATACACAAAAAGGAATACTACTCGCTGTGAAAAAAAGGAAATCTTAACTTTTGGGACAGCATAAATGGACCTGGAGAGCATTATGCTAAGTGAAATAAGCCAGTCAGTGAAAAAGAAATACCATGCAATCTCACTTATATGTGGAATCTGAAGAACAATGCAAACTAACAAACAAAATGGAAACATCCTCATAGATAACACAGAACAGACAGAAAGCTGTCAGATGGGAGTGGACAGCAGGGCTGTGTAAAGAAGATGAAGGGAATTGAGCAACAGTGCGGTGATTATCAGAAGGAAAGGGAAGTGGGAGTCGTAGAAGAGAGTTACAGGGGAATAAATGGTGGTGGAAGGAGATTTGACTTGGGATGGGGGACACACAGTGCAATATACAGATGGTGTATTACAGAATTGTATATCTGAAACCTATATAATTTTATTAATCAATGTTACTGCAATAAATTCAACAAAAAGATCTGTTTCTAAAATGAGCTCTAGTTCAATAAGCCCTATAGATAATTATATCTGTTATTGATTCTATTTGTTGTGAGCTTCTACATGTTAGGATATAGGAAAAATATTTTATACACATTATCTTTTAGCCTTAGAACAACCCTAAGAGTGTTAAGCATTTCCCCCTTTCATACATGACAAAACTAGAAACAGAGAGCTTTCATAAGTAGTTCAAGGTCACAAAGAATTCTAACTTACACTAATAAGCAGATGCAATTTTTTAAATATATTTTCTTGATTATGCTATTACAGTTGCCCCATTTTCCCCCTTCACTCCCCTCCACCCTGTACACCCTCTCCCACCCACTTCCCCCCCTTTAGTTCATGTTCATGTGTCATACTTATAAGTTTGTCAGCTTCTACATTTCTCATACTATTCTTACCCTCCCCTGTCTATTTCCTACCTACAATCTATGCTACTTATTCTCCATACCTTTTCCCCCTCTCTCCTCTTCCCACTCCCCTGTTGCTAACCCTCCATGTGATCTCCATTTCTGTGCTTCTGTTCCTGTTCTACTTGTTTGCTTTGTTTCTTTTGGTTTTGCTTTAGATGTGGTTGTTAATAATTGTGAGTTTCCTGTCCTTTTACTATACATGTTTTTTTTTCAATCTTCTTTTCTTAGATAAATCCCTTTAACATTTCATAAAATAAGGGCTTGGTGATGATGAACTCCTTTAACTTGACCTTATCTGAGAAACACTTTATCTTTCCTTCCATTCTAAATGAAAGCTTTGCTGGATAGAGTCATCTGGGATATAGGTCCTTGTCTTTCATGACTTGGAATACTTCTTTCCAGCCCCTTCTTGCCTGTAAGGTCTCTTTGGAGAAATCAGCTGACAGTCTGATGGGAACTCCTTTGTAGGTGACTGTCCCCTTATCTCTTGCTGCTTCTAGGATTCTCTCCTTCATTTTTACCTTGGCTAATGTAATTATGATGTGCCTTGGTGTGTTCCTTCTTGGGTCCAACTTCTTTGGGACTCTCTGAGCTTCCTGGACTTCCTGGAAGTCTATTTCCTTTGCCAGAATGGGGAAGTTCTCCTTTATTATTTGTTCAAATACATTTTCAATCTGTTGCTCTACCTCTTCCCCTTCTGGTACCCCTATAATTTGGATGTTGGAACGTTTAAAGATGTCCTGGAGGTTCCTAAGCTTCTCATCATTTTTTTTTTGAATTCTTCTTTCTCCATTCTTTCCTGTTTGGTTGTTTCTTTCTTCCTTCTGGTCCACTCTATTGTTTTGAGTACCAGTTTTCTTCCTATCACTGTTGGTTCCTTGTGCATTTTCCTTCATTTCTTTTATGGTAACCTGCATTTTCTCATATAATTTTTGACCAAAATCAAACAATTCTGTGAGCTTCCTGATCACCAGTGTTTTGAACTGTGCATCTGATAGGTTAGCTATCTCTTGGTCGCTTGAAAGGATGAGTTCTGGGGCACTGATTTGTGCTTCTGTTTGAGCTCTCTCTCTCTCTCTCTCTTTTTTTTTTTTGGTCTGGTTGCTCCTGTTATGGTGAGACGCAGAGCCTTAGGTGTTCACCAGGACTGGGCACCCCAGTCGCTAGATTGTGACGTTGTATGTGAAGGCGGGGTCAAGAGGGAACAATGGTGGTAGCTCCGTTCTCTGTGGGATCTCAGTCCCTTCCCTGGGATCCTTGGTTGCGTGCTCTGCCCTGCTCCACAATCACTGCATCACTGGGTCTGCCAGCTGCTGCTTGCATGCTCAGGGTCCACCCGCTAGGATCTTGCATGCCCTGGATGCCTTATGCGCTCCAGGTTGCCTTATGCGCCCAATTCTCCCTGTTCTCCGCACCACGACCCTGCGCCCAGCTGCTTGTCTCTGCCCCTCCTGTCGGTCTGGATAAATGGGTCTATTTAAATTTCTTGGCTGACTGACTTCCATTCAGGTAAATTTTCTATCAGTTCTGGGTGTTATTCTAGCTCTAAATTGTTGTTGTTCCAATCTTGGTTGTGCATGGATGTACGGTGCATCAACCTATGCCTCCATCTTGCTGGAAGTCCAGCAGATGCAATTTTAAATATATTTTAATTTTACTTAGATAATTTGTTTTATTGTTTGTTTCTAATTACTCTTTTGCAAGTGGAAATCTATGTCTAAATTTTCTGTGGTTTGTCAAATTAGAAGGTGGAAATGGTAATAAACAGGCTTCCCTTCAACCAGCAGTGTGCATTCACTTGCAATTTCATTCTAATAGATAATTAAAAAGCAAAGTCTTATAAATTGCAGAAATCTAATTAGCATTACTCCTTTTCTTTATTTCTTAGTAAGTAAGCTACGCTTACGTTCCTTCAGTGATAACCACTGCATGAAGATGTTTGATAGTGATAATGAAACCAGAGCTTGCGATTGTATGAATATTCTTCCCAGGAAACGGCCCGGAGATACAAACTCCCCAAGTAAGTGATTTTGTATTGTTCTACTGTAGTGGAGCAAAAACTTTCCTTCTACCCTCTCTAAAGTTTAGTACCTGGGGGACAATGAATTAAACTGACAGAAAAACAATTAATCGGAAAAAAACGTTTATTTACATGCATACCAGAACTAACAAAAGTAGTTAGTTCAACATTCTTGAAGTTAAAGGTTTATATGCCTAACTTAGTTTAGGTAAGAAATGACTTCCTTGGGGAAATCACTTTTTTTTTTTTTTTGGAAAGTCAAGTGTTTCTTTTAGAAGAAACTGGAGAAAGAAAGTTTATCATGGTGTCTGTTCATACAGGTGGAAGTAGCCTTTCCATTTTCTTCATGGACATAATATTTCCCCCACAGGGGGACTTCTGGTGGGTTTCCTCTCAGTATTTTTCCTGTGAATAAATCACCCCAAAGACAAAATCTGTGGCAGCCTCATTTCTCAGAATTTTCTGCATTTAGTCAGGTAAAAGTGGCTCTACAGAACACTTCTTAAATCTCAAATATTTTCAGCTTAAAATAATTCTTAAATGAAAATGAAATAATTTTTTCTGGTGTATTCAGACCCCTTTCAGTATTTTGGAGACAATTTTCTTATTTCACTTCTTCACCTCCAATCCTGCTTCCTGTTAATCTGTTCAGGTTCACTGCTTAGACTGTTCTTACTGCTGATTTGCTTACTTACTACGGCTAAAACTCTTCTCAAATACCACTGTTTCCAGGAGCCAATTGGTTGCTACTTCAAGTTTTGTAATTCCCTTGCTAGATAACAAACCTATCGCTGGCTATCTCTTTCCATTTTTCAAAATTTAATTAATTTATTTGACTTTATATACTTATTAGGCATATATAACATACTTGGTTTACTGACAAGACGACAAGAAATTTAGAAAAATTTTCTGTCTTTAAGAATCTCATGATCAGTGTGTGAGATTATAAAGATAGAGTCAAATTGCACTGCCATAGGCAGTTTAAACTGATGAAATCTTTCCTAACAGAAGTCTAGAGTAGCTTCCTACATGAGGCATTAGGATCTCTAAAGGCAAGGTGAGTTCAGGAAGTGAAGTATGGGCTATTGATGATATGATAATAATTACGTGATGACACTTGATGAGTATAGAGTTATATTCCTGGAATATGTATTTGGTGGAAAGTAATCTAGATAACATCATATTAAATCAAACTCACAAATACATTGAGGGTTAGAACGTAATAGCTGTGTGAAAATTTAAAATGCAATCAGTTTTTCACGAAATTATGCTAGGAACTTAAGGGATAAATTCATTGTCTTTTATCCTTGGAGGTGATTTGGTGGGAAACTGTGAGGTGCTTTGGCCTACAGTAGTTTTGTTGGTGTGATTGTCCTCTGCTCTGCTACTCAAATATATGCTAGTGTTTTAAACTTACTTTTATCCATTAGATGCCACTTCTATATGATAGTGATTACTGCTTTTGTACTTACCACTTGTTTTAATAGGTGATTAAGATGTCAATTAATTTTTAAAATTATAAGGTCAAAAGATTGAGTTGTAATGCATTTGAGGATCACTATGTCTCACAAAGAAAGGGGTTTTTAATTTACTGATGTTCTGTAGATCTCTTCAATCTCCGTGCTGCAGCCATCAGCATCTTCCTAAAATGCAGATCAGCGGCCAGGGTGTTCCTGTAGTCAGAACTCTGTAGTGATTTTGTATGGTCCTTGGAATAAAGTCTAAGCACTTTAACATATTTTATGATGTCCTCTGAGTCTTGGTTTCCTACAAAGCAGTCTAATTTTCATAATACAAAACTCTCCTTTGTCCTAGTCACCAGCAAAATAAGCCTCTATGAAGTAATATGAGGTAGTATTCTCTCTCAAGTTTAAGTCATTATTCATGCTGATCAAGTCCATCTCTTTTGAATATTTATTCTGTTTCATCTTCTTACCCCTTGAACTCTTCTAACACACACACACACATACACACACACAGTTCAGATCGGACGTGCTAATATAGTATGATAAAATCATGGTTGATGTTTTGTATTTCTTATATAATACGGAAGTTGAATGTAAAATCACATATATTGGATATTTGTGGTTTTTACTCTCTAAACTGTTCACCATCTTTGCCTCCCTTTTTTTTAATTAAGGTGCTCATTTTTTCTTATTTATAAGTGTTTATTGTAGAATAAATGTTAACATCTTCTCACAATTTACAATTAACTTTGAAGTAAAAAACCTACCACAAACCATAAACTTTAGCACAGGTTAAATACAAAGAATTATACTGAAATATATTTCTAGTCCTTATGTTAAATTTGGATAATTAATATATGTTTTCTCATTAAATATTGATGGCCATAGAGTGACAGAATACAATATGAAAATATAACTGGTGTTTATGTTTTTGATTGCATTTTTCCCTTAAGACTTCATTCTTCAGCTCTTTAATAGGTCAACAAAGTACTTTCTTATACTGGTAATTCCCATACTCCTCCCCATACATTACTCTCCTAGGCTTCCCTCAACCACCGGGAGGCCTCCCTTTGATGGGAGTCCCAGTGCTATGGCACTCAAAAATTATTTGTTTATCATTTTCATCATCTTACCTTTGGCATATCAATAATAGCCCCTTATACTCTAAATAAATATAATTTTCAATAGATTAATTTCTTTTTCTTTTTACTGTATTGACAGAAACTAAGCCTTCTTTATTGTTGTGAGTATGTGACCTTTAGGCAAATAAAAAGAAGAGTGGAATGAATAATTCATGTTTTATTATAGACGCAAAATGCTACCATTGCAAAGGGCATACCACAGTAAACCTCTGAATAAGCATGAGAGCTCAGTCATTTATTTCCATCAATAATTTATGATGCTGAACTTCAGCAAAAACAAAGTTTTTCTCTAGCTTCAGTCTCAGGTGTACTGTTAGATATTTTTTCAGGTAAATGTAGATAAAGCCTAGTTTATTAATACACTATTTCAATGACCACTTTTTTGTCATTACCTATAAAATGAGATCCCCTGGAAAGAGGGTTGTAAAGAATTAGGATACTTCAGTGATTCAAAACAGAAACTTAAAGTGTAATATTTTCTTGAAATAATCTAATTTGTTATACTGCTTCATAAAGAGCTCCCATAGTCTCTAGTGGGAAAAGCTAACTTTTATATAGAGAATCTTGTAGTATGTATTTTCATGTTCATCTCATTTAATATAAGCATACCGGATAAGTTTTTATACAGATTTGTGAATATTTTCAAAATGATAAATAATATTTAAGACATATAAAAATTTAAATAGAATACAATCAATACTTATGTACCTCCTATTTAGTTTAAAATATAAAAAGAATCATTAGTTCAGAAACCTATGCATACTTATTTCTGATATAGATTTATTTTAATTATTTAAAGTTTTTCCTTTATACAGAGATAAGTCTGTTGGTCATTGAGGCATGTGGATACTGGGGTCATGTTGAAGAATTTGTTTTACAAAACAAATTCTGTGTTGTGAAATACATTCTTTTGTGGTATGAAAGAACTGTTAAAATGACTTTTTTCACCGCAGTTTGCTTCTGATGCCATTCAAGCTCTTCATTTTATTTTAAATTCCCTATTATTAGTTATATGACTTTTAGTAAATCACTTAACTTTTAGTTCCCTAGTTTATACCTAAGCTTAACCTTAGTATCTTTATAAATGAGGAACATAGAGTTAATAATTTCATAGGTTTCCTAAGTTTCTTACAAGAAAAAAAATCATATATTCATGTGTACAAAATTATTTGACATGTAGTAATTAGTCAATAAATAATAATAATAATAATTTCTGCATTTATTTCTTCTATAATTGGAGGGGGAGTTTATTTCTTAAAGATGGAATGAAATGTTTACTTTGAAGGAAACAGTTTACAAAATTAGTGCAAAAATTGTTTTGCTTTTTTTTTGGATGTTCAAACCTTGTTCTCATTCCTATTTCTATACATATTTTCATTTCAGAAAACCGTAGATTAAACTTGTGCCCTAATGGTTGGGTTCAGGAAAATGGGAAATGTTACAACTTTTTTTACACTTTTAAATCATGGATCAATAGCCAAAAATCCTGTTTAAAAATGAAATCACATCTTTTGATGATCCAAGACAAGGCTGAACTGGTAAGAGCTAATTTTTAGCCCTTTCAAAACCAGAAGGAATAGTTATATTTATAATCCAAGAATTATAGTACTAATAATTATTGCCACTTATTGAATTCCTGCTGTATAGCGGGAACTGTGGTAAGCATATTATAAACGTTATATAAGTTAGTGGTTCACAATAACCTTATGACATAGGTGGTATTTTCCCCATTTTCATAAGAAGAACCTGAAGAACTTGACAGGTTGTACAAACTTTTCTATGTCATTAAGTAAATGGCAAAACTAGGATATCCATGCCATCCTTTCACGTCATCTCTTGGTGAGAAAGATAGGAGCTCTTTCAGATACTCATCAAAAGCATTATGGATATTCAGAAATATCCTTAATATCTTGGGCAGGAAATGTAGGGCTCTTTCATTTCATTTTTGTGACATGTCACCATAGGCATCAGTTTTCTATGAGACTACACATTGGTAGACAAAGCAATACACATATACTTTCTGCTCCTTTAGACAGGCTTAATCCTTCTTAATTTTTGCTTTACATCTTCTTTGTATCCTTCTTAAGATTTTCCTAATTAGGGAGATAAATATCAAAACCTTTTAAAGTCTGGAAAAAGCCAAAGGGTCTATTTTAGTAGCTATAACTCAGTTAAATTCCTCTGGAACCCCTTTTACAGGATTTCATACAAAACAATATACAAGATGGAATCTACTTTTGGATTGGATTAAATATTACACATCCACAAAAGACTTGGACCTGGCTGGATGGAACCCCATTAAACCCACAGTTGTGAGTGTTTGACCTTTGAGTACCACTGGGGAAATATAAAATCTCAGCAGCCAATTGTTATTGGGAGTCTCCTGAAACTCTAGATAGGCAATTGGTTCTCACAGTTTGTAGACATTAATCTCTGTTAATGTATGTGTAGGGAATTTTCCTTAGAACGATGAAGGCTCCTAAGTTAATTTATTTTCATATTTGGATTTTTTAGTCTACCTATAATATTTGAGGTATAAATAGAAAATTGTATTCAATAAAATTATTCTAAACTTAAATTCTTACAAAATATTTCTTAAATTTCATAAAATAATCCTTATTTTGATTAACAGAAGGATTCTAATAAAGACATACTACAGAATAACCTCCATGCAAACTTGCTTAGAATTATTAATTTGTAATCTAGCTTTTAAAATTAAGAATATTTTAGTTTTTTAGATCCCTTGTATTTTATTTGTTTAAGACATAAAATGTCAGTTTAAACATCATGGAAAATCAGAATTAAAACAGGAATTTTCCTTTCATGTTAAGGGTGAAGTATACTTGAGTAAGGGTGGAGATACTTGAGTATCTCTGTATGTATACATATAAACAGATATTCTCTTGTTGAGGTGTCTATGTGAGTTTAAAAATTTAGAAGAGGAGAGGTTTTCTCCCATATTCTTCACTCTAACTCTTTCCCCCAAGAAAAGCTGGGGTTAATGTCACCAGCTTTTAACATGTGAAGTCTAGATGTACCAAAGAATATTCTTTCGTAGGATCTCTTGTAGACACAAGGAGATTCATTATACACAAATAGTGAGGGAAGGTTTCTGGAGTGTGTGACATTTGGGATTTAGGTCTGGATGATGAAAATGTCAATAGTTTGATATATTCTTTAGAAAGCTGGTTTAATATTTTTGAAAACCATGTATACTTTTAGATGTGTTATATGTCTAAATCTTAAAATAATAAATATGATATTGTATACTATAGAATTGATTATCATTCAATTGTTATGAATATTCAACAAGCTTGAATCAGGAATTTTGGGAGTAACAAAAGGAATTTTTCTCCAAAAATGGCAGGATCAGCCTCAAATATGTTTGGGCTGCTTTACCACAGAATGGGTAGCTTATAAACAATAGAAATTATTTTTGTTGATGTTCGAATACAGTGTTCTCCATTTTCCCATCACCACTTTCCCCTGCCCTACCCACGCCCATCTCCCACCCTCAATCCCACTTCCCCTTGGCTCTGTCCACGGGTCCATCATACATGCTCATTTACTTCCCTTTCCCTTTTTTCCTATGTTATTTCCCTCTCTCCTCCCCTCTGGTTACTGTCAGTTGTTGTTGATTTCAATGTCTTTGGCTATATTTTGCTTGCCAGTTTGTTTTTAAACCATAGAAATTTATTTTTCACAGTTCTAGCTAGGGGGATTCCAAGGCTGAGGTGCCACCATGGTCATGTTTTGATGAGGGCCCTCTTCCTGGCTTGTAGCTGGAGTCTTCTCCTCATATATTCAGTAGTGGAAGGGCCTAGGAATCTCTCCAGTGTCTCTCTGATAAGGAACAAATCCTATTCATGAGGGGTTCACCCTCATGACCTAATCACCCCCATAGCTCCACCTCCTGATACTATCACATTGGACATTAGGATTTTAAAATATAAATTTGGGGTGAGGGAACACATACATTTAAACCATAGCACACGGCTTGAGAAACAAAACTTTGAATTCATCTTATGTATGATAAAGTGAAGAGTCTTCCTCCAAATTTTACAAAATATATTGGTATAGTCATTGTAGCCAGTGTGTATCCTCTTAAAGGCCCTGCTTTCTAATACAATTATTTTTAGGAATTAAAACAGTTAGACTATAGCAGTGCTCTAAGATCTTTATTTTTATATAATTACATGGCATTGGGAAACCAATGTTTCTTATTCACATTTTTGTTCCATGTAGTATTTCTAGTTACAAATGATCATTTTTGGTTAAAAAGCTATTTGGAGCAATGTCTTCATTAAATAAATTGGTTGTTTAATATACATTCTTTGTCTGAATATTACAATGCCTTAGATTTCCAGGTTGGAGAGTAGTATATTCTTTCTGAGAGAAAATGCATAAAATAGTCATCATTGTGTTCTCAGCAGTGCAAAGACACTGTCTCCTCTTCCTCTACAGATTTCAAGTCACCGGTGAGGCTGAAGACCATGCCTGCGCTTCAATAACAAAGAAGGGCGTTTTTTCTGAAAAATGTCACACTCAAGGTTTTTGGATTTGTCAAGACGTGATTTCTTCTTCTGATGACCTCTAAACTGATCACAGGTATTTCTCCCATTAACAAAAATTTCACAAATATTCCTTATGCATCTAAGTAGAAACGCTTCATTTCTACAACAAATATATGGTAATACTGATGACAATGCTATAGATTTGTGTCACTATAAATCTAGGCAATCATCCTCAATAGATTCACATTATATTTTTATAGTCATCTCTCATTTATGATAGTAGCTATCTCAGACAGAAACTATCCTTTTATTTCCTCAATAATTCTCTCCATAAGCCTCTCAATCACCATTAACAGAGGAGCTTTTTGTGTGTGTGTGTGGTTTTTTTTAAAGAGAAGACATTAGATGATATATTCCTGCACTTTATACCATTGAGTCTACACATTTGTCTACATCTTACTACTTTTTCCTCTTCTTGTATCTCCAAAAAAAGTGGTATCCCTCTTTCTGTCTAAATCAAATCTCCAAGTCTGTAGCCAGGATTACATCTCTTAATTTTTCTAGGAAATCTCTTCCTTGATCATCTCCTCTCTTACCCCTCTCTTCTTATATTTCCCTTTATACCAGCAACTAAACATTCAAGAGCAAGAAAATTTTCCCTCAACCACATGTGGCTTCTAGTTTCTGTCCATTTTTTTCCCACCTTGGGGAAAACATGAACATTGTTGGTGTTCCTCTTTTCCTCTTTCTATCTAAGAGTTTAAGTTCTTTTTTTAAAAATTATTGTTCAAATACAGTTTTCTGCCTTTCCCCCCCCCCACCCCTCCACACCATCCCAGCCTTCCCTGCCTCCTTCCTCCTTTTCCACCCCCCCCATATGGACAGATGTTGTCCATATGTCCTTTATAATTGTTCCTGTAATCCCTTCACCCTTTCCCCACATATCCCCTCTGATCACTGTCAGCCTGTTCTCAATTTCAGTATCTTTGGCCTATTTTCAATTTCAATGTCTTTGGGCAATGTCTTTGCCCATTAGTAAATGAATGGATTAAAAAACTATGGTACATCTACACAATGGAATTCTATGCAGCAGAAAGAAAGGAGCTCCTATACTTTGTGACAGCATGGATGGAACTGTATAACATTATGCTAAGTGAAATAAGGCAGGCAATGAAAAACAAATACCATATGATCTCACCATTAATAGAAATCTAATCAAACAAGCAAGAAATCTAAAACAAGCAAGCAAGCAAAGTATAGCTAAGACTTCAAGTTCTAAAATTTGGTTTCTAGTGTTGCAGGTTCGATTCCCAGTCAGGGTACATGCCTGGGTTGCAGGCCATGATCCCTTAGTAATTGCACATTTATATTTCTCTCTCTTTCTCCCTCCCTTCCCTCTCTAAAAAATAAATAAATAAAATCTTAAAAAAAAAGGAATGGGTTCCAATAGAGATATACCTGTTTAAAAAAATAAAATAAAATTTGGCTTCTGCTTTTCCTACTATTTCACCAAAGTGTTCTCATCGTCACCAATGACTTTCTTACGGCTAATTACAAGGAGAACATTTTAGATTTCATTTTAACTATCAAATTTGCTCAACACTGACCTATCCTTTCTTCTAGAAATGTTTTCTAACTTCAGCATCTGTGACATGAAATGCTCTTGAACTGCTATCTACTTTTCCAGACATTCCTTCTTACTCTTTTCTGCAGTGTCTCTTTCCTCTTCCAATCTCTTAAATACCTTTGTTTCTCAGAGTTCTGTGTGGGTTCTCCATCATACAAAATTCTTGGCTAAACTTGTCCATTCTATAATTTTAATTGCCACTGATTTACTGATAATTCTCAAACACTTATTTCTAGCCTAAACCTTATTACAGTGCATTTCCCATTGGGCATCTCTATTTGGACAGCTCAAGGCCCCTCAATCTTCACATGTTAAAAATTAAACTCACTAACTTAATGACAGAAACATGCCTATACTAGTCTATGCCAGAGTCTTTAGAGTCAACTGTGACTTCTACTTTTTCACCCTCACTATTCAAACACTAACTTAAGTCCTATCAATATTACTATATAAATATTTCTGGAATTCATTTACATATCTTCATACCTACCCTATTAACTTGATTACTGCATCAATCTTTTTGTTTGCTTCTAGTTTTGTCTGCCAAAGTTCATTCTTCATAGTGTGATGTAGTGACTCTCTGAACCTCATATCAGACCACATTACTCACTACCTAATTGCTTTGAGTGACATTTCATTGCTTAAACCTTTTATCAACTCCTACCAGATCCTTTTTGTCTTGGCTCCTCTTCACTTCTTCCTCATTTCCATGTGTGTATTGAGGCAGACAGACTAATTTTGGTTCAGTTCCTCAAATGCATCATGCTGTTGTAGGCCTCTAATCTAACCACATATTGTTTGCCTCAGCTTAACCTTTTTTCTGTGTTACTCACCTTTTTAAATTTTTGCTTATTTTTCAGGTGACCTAGTTAAATGTCATTTGGAGGAATATACTTTTTTGACCATTCTGCATTCCAGACAAAAGTTGGTAAATATTTTCATAGCTCCCTGTACTTATCTAATCTTAACATCTGTCAACAGTACCCTCTTTTTTGGCCATTGTTTCCCTAACTGTTTTTTAGTGCACTGTAAGCTATGCAAGGTCAATAATTGTTATTATTGTTTGGAATAATGATGTATAATGGATAATAAATAAGTACCTTTTATATTGATATATATTTGTAACATGTTCTATGAGTTCCCTAGCCTAACTTTTACTAGTTTTACAGATCTTTTCCCAGTGTAGATAAGCATAACTTGCATATAGAGAAATAATCCAGTCTATTTTCTTAAATAAAAGTCAGTGTTAGGTTTATATGCATGAATAAATAAAATGTTCCTTGTTTGCTGTTGGTTTTTGTTTTTAACCTAGAACCTACATTGAGACTTGGAGTAGAGGCATGACTACATTAATGTTTGTTAATAAAATATAATTTACCAATGGGACACCTATTTTAAAGTCCTAGATCCACTAAGGTAAAGCTTAAAGGATATATCCAAATTTTAAAAATATATTTATTTCAAATACTTTTTTTTAAAGATCTTATTTATTTATTTTTAGAGAGGGAAGGGGGGAGAGAGAGAGAGAGAGAGAGAGAGAGAGAGAGAGAGAGAGAGAGAGAGAGAGAGAAACATCAATGTGCGGTTGCGGGGGGCCGTGGCCTGCAGCCCTGACTGGGAATCGAACCTGTGATGCTTTGGTTCGCAGCCCGCACTCAATCCACTGAGCTATGCCAGCCAGGGCTATTTCAAATACTTTTGTTTGGACAGAAGTAATTATAGTTTATAGGAAATGAAATAGAAAACCTTCAACTCACTTGAAAAAATTAAACACAAGGAACATGGAACCATGTTTACTTAGTATATATCCTATTTTATTAATGTGAACACTTAAGAAATGTGGAAAAAAATATTGGAGACCAGTTACAATGGAAGGGGTAGAGGAAATAATGGAAGACTAAGAGATCTTTAATACTCAAAGCCAAGTTATCAATGTTTTTTGAAAGACTATGTATGGAAGAGACTAAGAGTGGTCAGAAGGAAGGGGAGTTGGGGGGCTGAGTGAAAAAAGTGAAAGGATTAAGCTAAGAAATATTTTTGTGCCACATAGACCCAGACAATAGTATGGTGATAGCCAGAGTCAAAGTGGGGTAAGGGGAGGTGGAAGTGGGCAAAGTGGGAGATCAATGGGGATGAAAAGACTTTAGTTTTGGCAATGAGCACACAATGCAGTGTGCAGACAATGTTTTATTGAGTTGTACACTTGAAACTTGTATGCTTTTATGAACTATCCAGTGTCACCTCAATAAATTCAATAAAAAGTATTTTAATAATTAAATAAAACATTTAAAGACAATTTAAACAATTCAGCTGCATTTCTTTCTCTTTTCTTCTTATTTAAGGATTATTTGTAAAGCAATATTTTCCATTAAATTCTAAAAATTGAGTAGCAATAGAGAAATGTTTTGCTTGTGAACTTCTGATGTGAGGATTCTAAAAACTACTGTGAATTTAATTAATCATGCCTAAAAGTCCTAATACAAATCAAAGCTTGCCTTATTATTTCCATTATATATCTATGTGTGTGTTTTTTTGAGAGATTAGAGTATCTGAATCTTAACAACTAAAGTTATTTTTACATCATCTAGTCCTCCAAATTAATATTATTTTTTAATTACGGAGTGATTCTAGCTGTTGGGAGAGAATCAGATTAAATAATGTAAATTACGAGATTCTTAGTGGAAAAAGCTTCAGGAATATATGGGACAATGGTAATTTATGGCACTTCAAAGTTTTATCTTTAGACTTCTTTTGCAATGTGTGTGTTTATGTGTTTGTGTGCTTGTTTGCCATTGGGGAAAATTATGGTTTCACTAGGTAAGGGCTTCAATGAGGCCACTTCCAACTTCCCGCTCAGACCCCCATTATAGTTGAGGGTTACATCTTCTCCTCTCCCCACAAAAGGAAAACCAGCTTAGATTCCTTTGCTCCTAAAGATCTGACATTAGGTAGACTTGAAGTGTGAAAATAGGAAAAGAACTAGTTGCAGCCGCACACTTGCCACTCCCTATTTGTTTCTTGCTGATAGTATGTCAACACAGTCAGGTGCACCTTGTTGAAGGATGCCCTTCACAGTGGTGGTTTGTTCATTTCAAGAGTAGCCAGTTTAGCAGGGTGAACATATTTGAACACCCATGGCTAAGGAATTTGAAGTCTCGATACTATTTTCCTTGTTTACTTTTTTAAAACAGGAAGTTTCTTTATTTATTTGTTTGTTTTGAACACAGGAAGTTTTAATGTTGACTTTCTTAGAAATATTATGTAATAATTTCTGAAACCAATTTAATACATAAATTGCTGCAGAAGTTCCATTGACTAAAAAAGCATTGCAATACATCTTTCCAGTACCTTTTAAAATAATAGTTTTTAAAATTAAATTTAAAATCATGAACATTTACTTCATGAACAGTAATTTCATTTAGGGATATATCCTTTGCTGAAGTCTTGCAAAGGATATAATTTGCAAAAGTCTTGTTTGGTACTAATAAATTTTATGTGTTTGAACACTTCATTACATGCTTTACACAATGTAAGAACATTGACTATTAAAGTATACAGTTCTAAACACAGTTTGTTCATCATATTTAGACAGGTATTAATTTAACATCATGTCATTAACAGCATGCATTCAATAGTGAAAATATGTTTCACTATTTGAAAGAATATTTTGCTGAATCTAGTATGCAAAATGCCCAAAGCCTCCTTGAAATATTACAATACAATTGCCATGTACCAGGGGAGCATGTGGTTCAGTTTGCATTGAAATTAATATATGGATTAATAATTTTTGTTATTATGAGAAATAGCATTTGTACAATGATTAGGTGTTGGTCTAAGATTTGGTATGAGTTCCAGATTAATATTACGTTTGCAGTAGAGTTAGTGAGTACCCTTGAATTTACTGTGTGGTATGAGGTTAAAATCAACAAAACAAACGAGCAAAATAGAACCAGAGACATGAAAATAAAGAACACACTGACAGTGATGAGAGTGGGTGGAGGGGGATAAGTGGGGAAAGAAGGGGAAGGGGCAAGTCAGGAACATGAGTAGAAGACTCCTGGGCATGGACAACAACGTGGGGATTGACTGTGGCAGAGCAGGGGAGAGCAACAGGGAAAATAGTGGGGCAACTATAATTGAACAACAATAATAAAATAAAATAGGTAGAGGAAAAAAATAAAGAATATGGTGTTAACTATAAAAGAAAGACTACTGTGTTAAACATAGTGTGTGAAATGCTGGTAGCTTTTGAGAAATATTATTATAGTATGGTGCCATTTACTGGGGCTGTGTGGTGGCAAACATAGTTGGCAAATGGCTCTTTTAGAAACTATCCATTCCCTCTGGCTGGTGTGGCTCAGTGGATTGAGTGTCGGACTGTAATTCGAGGGGTTGTTGGATCCATTCCCAGGCAGGGCACATGCCTGGGTTGCAGGCCAGGTCTCCAGTATAGGGGGTGTGCTAGAGGCCACTACACATTAATGTTTCCCTCTCTTTTTCCCTCCCTTCTCCTCTAAAAATAAATAAATAAAATCTTTAAACTACAAATCATTAAAAAATGATAAAAAATTCATTCCAAACATGCACAAACTGAATAAACAGTTTTGAGCTCCATTTGCAAGTCAGTGCTTAAAAATCTTAATGCTTAAACTCCTTTAACTTCTTTATTATTTTGTGGGCTTTCTACCATTATCATTATTTTTCCACCAAATGTCTTCATTAATTCCCCCAAAACAGTTTGATTAATTTCCAAAAAACAAAGACAAACAAATTGGGTTTATTGTAATAGTGGAAATGCATGTTGAATGATATGGCAGCTCAAGGGTGGTAAGCCTGAGATATATGTTAGATGCTGCTTTGGTCCAAACCAACAGCAGAACGCCAAAAAGATAAAAGAATCAATCAATAAACCCTTAATGATAAATTGTTCATAAATATTAAATTACCAATCTGGGAATATATGTCCATAGATATCATATATCAGTTGATTTGCATTCTCACTTCTAAGTAAGCATCTCTTAAGTCGAATGAACTATCATATACTTAGTTTCGCAAAATAACAAGATTATATTCATGAATATCTTTTTTTCCCATTTATACTCAATTGTATTAAACATTTTGGCTTTCCTACTAATCACTGTAAAAATTAACATGTTACTTTCATATTTCATTTATGCTTAATAGTATATATCCATATATATACAATTATTTTTAAACTTAACGGCACACATATTATACTCGAGAGTACAACAAAAATTTCATTCAAGTAGAAAAATGTTTTAACTCTTAAAATTATCTTTCCAGAATTTTAGAGATATGCACTGCTAGGCATAATTATCGATTATCCCACAAGAGAGGTATGAGTATATTTGTAATTTTATTTAAAAACAAAAACAAAATATCAGTTCATTTTTAAAATAACAACTTTATTTTAGTATCAGTTAAGAAACTTGAGGAGAACACTTTAAAATTTATGTCACTAGGTGTGAAATAGCATTAGGTACAATAAAAGCAGAGTCATACAAAAGATTCTTGACGTTGTTCTATTATTAAAGAAGGTTAATACAATGAAGGTATAATTTCTAAACTATAACTTGAAAAAGCAAAAAAATACATTAGTATATTTTTCTACTTGAGCTTGGACACTATTCCATATTAGAAGTTTTGCAGATCCAATATTTGAGAATATTGCAGTATCTCTATTTTCTGAAACATATGCATTACTCTTTTTTAACTTTGTTTTTATTGTTGACACTATGACATGTGTCCCCTTTCCCCTTCCCCCTTTGTTTAACTCCATCCAGCCTCAGTTTCCCTTCTGGTCATCACCACACCGTTCTCTGTGTCTATGGGTTATACGTATGTGATCTTTGACTAATCCCTTCTTATTTAATGCTTCTGCAAATACCCGTGAGCTGATTTATTTGTCTGATGTTATGCTATTCTTCTGCTTACAGGCACAGATTTAGCCCCATGACCAAACCTAAAAGTTACCTTAATTTAGACCTCACCTATTTTTTTTAATTAAGAAAAAAAGTATACTTGTCTGTGAAGTATTTTTTTCTGTATTTAATCCCTTCACCTTTTTCACCTAGCTCCCCAAACCTCTCCCCTCTGACAGCTGTCAGTCAATGTTCTGTCATAGACAGGCAACAGTATGGTGATTACCAGAGGGAAAGGGCATTAGGGGAGGTAGAAGAGAGTAAAGTGGGGATAAATGGTGATGGAAGGAGACTTGACTTGAGATGGTGAACACAATATAACATATAAACGATGTATTATGTAATTGTACACCTGAAACCTATTACTTTTATTAACCAATGTAACCCCAATAAGTTCAATCAAAATGCAAAAAAAGGTTTTATGCAAACTGTAAAGAAGAAAGTTTATATAGAAGAAAGTTATTTTTCCACTAAGCAAATAATTGTCTTTTTGCTACTGTGTAATTTTCTCCTTTTGCTTTGGTAGGCTTATACCATAGATCTCTGCATCTTTGCATGCATCTATTTCATATATCCTCCAGACTTGCCCCTCAGATCCAAAACTGTGTAATCTACTTCCTACTAAGCTTTTCCACCTGGACTTCTACAGATTCCTGAAGATCAATAGTTTAAAAATATCCTTTTGTTTCCATATCCATTAATAGCACCGCTATTCACTTGATTGATTTACAGTGAAACCTGGGATTTATTCTTAACATCTATTTTTCCTCCATCCCTATTTTTCTACGACTATCTTTGAACCAGTTTTTGAATCCATTCACTCCTTTGCATTCTCCCTGTTACCATTTCTGGGCACTGTTCTTATCATTTTTTCTTCTGGTAAACTGGACAAACTTCTAAGTTCATTTTTTGTCCATGGGATAGATTTTATATTGTCCTGAGAGTTATTCTGAATTATATATTTGAAGACATCATTATCTTATGCATAAGTATTCAATAACTTTAGAGCAATAACCTAAAGCATCAAGGCTAAACTTCCCTTAGCATGGAGTCTACTGCTAGATCTGACTCCTTCCCTCCCCCAAACCCAGGTCTTGCTCTTTCCCATCGTATACCTATCCTTCTAGTGCTTCCTGACTATTACAATTTCTCACGTGTGTAACAGTTGGTATCCTCACATATGTTTTTCACTCTACTGGCAATGTTCTTCCTGATAGTTTTCTCTCTGGAAAACCTTCAGTTTAAAAATATTTTTCCTGTAAGAATTTTGCTGGACACCTCTTTCTCAAGTTTTGGACACTTTCTTCATGTGTTGTCATAAAACCTTTTCACATATCATATACACACTTGTTTCTGTACTTCTACTCTGCTTGGTAATTACATATTGAAGATTCATCTATTCAGTCTCTGATTTTCTAAACTAATTGTAGATTTAATGCTCAGTTCCTTGTCATCCTTTTTTATATTCTAGCTTTCAATACATACATTTTATTTACTCCTGATACAGGAGAACAATGGAGTAATAATACAATACAGTTTGATAAAAGAAAGACCTTAAGAACAAAGTCAAAATAAAGACCTTAAGAAAAAACTCCTGAGTTTTCTAAAGATCCATGCAGTGGTTGGTTTTAATTAGAAAGGAAATTTCCCCATTAAGTCTTTTGATGTCTTGGCACTTATTTGTCTGTGGACAGTTATTTCTCCTATTTAGGTTGAGATGAAAAGAATCAAATGACCATTTGCAAAGAACGAGGGAAAAGAGCAAGTACAGGGAAGAAAAGAGTTAAAATGAAGATGAGTAAAGAGGGTGAAAAGGTGGAAAACTTATTATGATCTATAATAAAAGATGTAAGAATGAGACTTTACTAAGTTATTTCCCTAAATTCTTACTAGTGCCATTCTCTAATATATATTCTCTTGTTAAAACTGTTCACATTTCTATCAATGAGTATACATTCAGTATCCATAGATATAGATCACAGATTTTACAAGAACTTTTAAAAAAGGATTATGTTTCACAGAGGGACATTGTTAATGTTGAATAAACATAAAGACAATACCGTCTGAAGAAGTATGCATTCTGACACAGAACCTAATTTGTTTTCTCAAATGGAGAGAAACTTGAGCAGCCAAATTCAAACCAGTCCTTCATCCATCTGCTCACCAAGAGATTACTATTTACATTGTCCTTTATGCAGTAAGTTCTTGGCATTCACGGGTAGAATATTGCTAGTTTAAGACTCACAATCTTGAAGGCCCTTATGTGATGGTCTGAATGTGAAATATCATTATTGCTTTATTTTTTCTGTGAGATTGGTGTGGGAAACAGATTCATTTATCTAGTAAATCAGCACCTTTAAACACTATTATTGTATTTGAATTACACTAGATTCATGAATGAATCTCACAAAGCAACACAAATATTGCATGCATAAAAGCAAACCATCCAATGATTATTTTTAACAAAAGGACACCACAAAAATATCAGAGTTCTTTTGAAAAAAAGTAATTTTAAATGACATTAGTCAGAATTCATATGATTACATCTTAAAATGTCATTTAATTTTTTTTCATTCATATATCAGAAATTTAATTCTATAAAATTTGGAAACTTTTAAATATGTTGAGGCATATAGTTTTTGAATGCCAAGAATCTAATAAATTTCTAAAACATTAATTTAGAGATTTGAAGTGAAACATCATTAAAAATTCTAAACATGAATTTTTATGTACCTTTACATTAATATAGCATATTTCTTTCAAGAAGGATACAAACTATGTTTTACGTAAAATATCCTAGGTCTGTGACATCTCAGCTTCCTGGGATGCACGTGTCTGGTTTGCCACAAATCCATTTTCGAACCAAATGGGTACTGGAACTACTAATCCCAGTCTTGTGTAGATAGGCACCTTCTCCAAATCCCATAACTTTAAACCTGAAACAAAACACAAGAATAAAAAAGGCTACAGAATGAGTGAGTACTTATTGGAAGAGTTAGTAAAAAAATGTCTTCTGCAGTGTGCTTTTATTCTAACCCCAACTCTGTATCACTGGAATGTAAAGCAAACTGAATTCGTAGGCCTTGCCTGGCCTAAAATGTAATTTATGATGAAGAATTGCAGGATTTGTTCACAATATCTTATTATTCAACAGCTTTGAATATCATTTTAAAAATCTAAAATGGTGATAAAGATACTCACTTCCCACAGTTGTAAAGATCTAATAATATGATTATGAAGCACTGTATTTGGAATATTATGGGTATTAATAACTTGTATAATAACTTGTATTACTGCATTTTCTCTGGGTTCATTTTATTCTCCACCATGAAGAAAGCTTCCAGAATGGTGTGTATGGATTATAGCTCAGATCTCTCCACAGTGGGAAAGGCTCAGGTCCCAGCTTTAGGTGTGTGAATTATACACCCAAGACTTACCAGCCATTGAACACAGTTCCATCTATCCACTTCCAGGCCTGTCCTGGTTTTTGGCTCAGTCCAATCCAATATTGAGAATGGTCAGAATAGCGCTTCAGGAAATCCTATTTACAGGATAAAGGGAAAATGCCTCATTCTCTTGGGGTTTCTTTCATCTAATTCATTACATAATCTTTATATAGACACAGACTTCTAGATTGGGGAATAATCTTAGAAGTGACATTATCTTCATCTAATTCATCCGTTCATTTATGGGTTGTGTTACTTCTGTAACAACTTCGGTAGTAAGTGGCATTGGGTAGCTATCTCTCCTTTCTAATTTTCTAAATCAATTTTATATAAGAGAAAAATGATCTCTTTTGTGAAGGCTTGGTCGAATATGCCAGTAAATCTTTCTAGGCTTGGTTCCTTTTAGGATGGGAGAATTTTGGTTAGCAGTAAAATATTTTGAACAGTTATTAGTTTATTCAAGTTTTGTATAAGTTCATAATTTATTCTGATACATTATGTTTTCTGACACAATTACCACTAATCTAACTTTTGTTTGTTTGGCTTTGGTTTGGTCAATGGTTGCTTTCCATATCTTTACCTTTTGCTTTATCTCTGACTTTCGTGTGTGTGTGTGTGTGTGTGTGTGTGTGTGTGTGTGCAGGCATGTCTACATGCTTAGCTATGTCTGTGTAAGTGCCATTAACTGTACTTTGTTGGTTTTTAAATGTGATATATTTGTCTTTTATATCTCAATGTGATATATTTGTCTTTCAAGGGATAAATGAAAAAGATTAACATTTTATCACAATTGCTGTTATATTGAATTTTGTGTTTTCTGACTATTTTTTCTTCTTTTACTTTTTATGAATTCTTTTGGATTGATACTTTTTCTATGTCTTTATTTGAATACTTTAGTTTATTTGAACATTTTTTACTTTTTCATGCTTACCATTTTATTTTTAAAAAATATATTAATCTACACATATTCCAATTTTAGGTTTTCTAGGTGATTGCTTAAATAATTGTTTAGACATAATTTTTTTCTTCAAAGTTTTAAAAGTTATTGGAATAAAAATACCAATACCATTTTATACTAAATATTGGTATTGGTATACCAAATACCAATATTTTATAAATATTATAAAATATTTATAAATAGTATAAAACAGTATACTATAGTATACTATTAGTATAAATAGTATAAATAATATAAGATACTTATAATATTTTATAGTTTTAAATCTCTGTTCTTTGTATTAGGGTGGGTCTATATTTTCTTTTTATCTGTGATTGGTCCTGTCTATCCAGAGAAATAGTTTTAACTTTGTATATCCTCATTGATTATTTTGTTACATTTTCTTTTTGATTTTTCTTATATTGATTCCAAAAATTATTTTAATAACTATGCTTTTTAAGTTATTTATTTTCTTTGGTCTGTTTTCAGATTGATCTAACACTTTCCCATTTTTTCATACTTTATTTTCATTATTTAACATTCTAATGAATTAAATGTATGCTTTCATTTATATTTTTCAGCTGTCCTAATATACTCATTTTAAAATCATCAGAAAGTTCTAGAAAATTAAATTTAACTTGGGTCAATCCCTTTTCTGTCTATTCTGCAGAGAGGAAGTGTTCAATAAATGTTAAATATATCTCCATGCTCCTTAAGACCTTTTCTGTCTCTTACCATCTGATATTCTACCTGGATATTACTTCTGGTCTGAGGGCAGTTCATGTTGCATGCTTTTACATTCCTTCATTTACCCTTTGTGTGCCCCAGATCTCCCAGATCTTCTTAATTGTGCTACTCATTTTGTAATTCTTTCTGGTATTTCTGACAAATGGCTTGCTATGACTCTTTGCTTACATTAAAAAAAATATATATACTCCCACAAAGGCAACTTTCATTTGGTGTAAAATAGGAAGGTGAACAAAATAGGCACATGACCCTGGCTGGATGCTTCTTGTGGTCTGAGTTGCTGTGGAAAATAGGATCTCCTCTAAACCGGGTAAGAAGCTCTTTTCTGAACCATTCCCATTTCCAGTATGTACTCCATAAACCAACTATAATCTCAGGAAGATAATCGTAATTTAGGAGTATTGCCTTACCAGTTCTTGTGTGGTGTTGAACACAACGAGAGTTGCTGCATGAGAGACACAGAAGTTCTGGCTTGCTGCCCAGGTGGTTGTATTCTCAGAAAAATAGAAGCACTTTCCTAGGTAACCAATCCAGCCATCCAAGCATGATTTGTGGTCAGGGGAAGATTTACGTTTTTCTACCAAAAATGATTTAATACCATGTTAAGTTGTGAGGGGTGAAAAGCCTTGAACAGCAATTAAAACAATTATCCATGTGATGAAATCCACCAGAATTGCTTTGATTCTTTAATCAGAAAAACTTCATTAAATACACTTTACATTGTTCCCTAAGTGAGAACAACTTCCAATTTTTTTGTACTTATTTTCTTACTAAGTTGAAAGAAATTCTTGAATGCTGAGGCAGTAGTTTTTGTCACATTTAGGGCTTTGTGACCTTCTCAAGTGACATCTACTTCTAGGTGATCACATTCTTATAACATTAAATAAATATATTTTCACATACATACACAGATACATAGACACATGCATATAAATATGTATGTGTACTGTGTGCTTATATACAGACATGTGTCTATATATGTACACAATATATGTTTGCATATATATTTACACATATGTACATATATAATCATATATACATATTTTAATGCCTAGTTCATAGAATAAGGTTGATTAATATATTCCATATAAACCATTTTATACATATGTGCACATATATGAGTACATGCTGAGTGGGTATAAAATACCCACTCATTAAGTTCTGTTACTTTATACATGTATATATTAAATTCATATTTATAATATATACATTAATGTATAAATTATATACACATCTATATTAGATATACTTATGTATATATTTTTAAGCACCTTACTAAAATAATTTTGAGTTCTTTATAGAATATATGTCCATAGTTCACTATCAGATAGGGAAGATATTTTGCTGCAATTAAAGTCTAAAAGTAATCTATATTTTGTGTTAAAATATGGTTATTAGGATAGCAACACTTTTTCTTGCTTAATTTTTTATAACCCATATGTTTAGCTGTGAATTATGAATAGGAGTTGAAAATCTGTGCCCATCATTTTAAGCTGTGTAACCATAGAAAACCTTGAACTCAATTTTCATTCTTATAAACATAGACCTCAACTATGAACAGCTTAGGGAAAAATACTACCATTTATATAAAAACAAATGGTTTAGGGCAAGGTAGTCCACAACTGGATAACCTTCCACAAGCTGTTGGCTATCAGTCCACAGTGGCATTAGGACCTTGTGACATATTGTTAACTAAATTACCAAATGCACTGTTTAGTTCTTTTGCTATTTCTTCAGCATGATATTTTCTTGATGAAGGAAGCAGTGTGGTGATTTACATTTTACCACAAACTTCTTGCCTTGTAAAGACCAACTAATACTGGCTAAGAAGGAAATTTCATAGACATTGTTATTTTAGTCCTCATAATATTTAGCACAGCTATTATCCTCATGTTGTAGAAGAGGGAACATATGCTGATTCTGTGTACACAGAGGTGTCTGATGACCCTTAATCCTGAGCTAAAGTATGAAAGGTACACATATGATGACATATTTTATAGAAGGGTTAACATGAGCATATTTAAGAAATAGAAAACTCACCTGTTAAAATTATGGCCAGTGTAATTATCATAATCACCAGAAGGAAGGTGAATATTGTAGAGATACAAAGTCTTTTTTTCTTCCTTTCTAGATTTTCTTGTGACTGTAGAGTACGTCTGGAGGAGGTGTCATAACCTGTAGAAAAATAATCAGCTTTTCATTACTGATAAGTGACTTTAGAACGTTCTAAGGTTCCTCAATGTATACAAACTAATCATATTTATATATACTATCCATTATCAATAGGAAATTAAAATATACCATTTACAATGGCATAAAATATTAAATACTCATAGATAAATCTGATGAAAGACATGTGAAACTTTTATACTGAAGATTATAAAACATTGCTGAAAAAATTGCTGACAAAATAAATAGATACTGTTTTCATAAATCATAAAATATTAAGACACAATATTGCTAAAGTATTAATTCTACTCAAATTAATCTATAGATTTATCACAATCCCAAACAAAATTCTGAGCATGCTTTTTCTTTTGTAAAAATTGGCAAGATGTTTATAAAATTTATATGAAAATGAAAAGGAACTAGAATAGCAAGTACTGAGAACTAAGTTGGAGAACTAATGCTCTATTGGCCACAGTTGCCAATAGAGCATTGTATTTGTGTCAAAACAGACAAGTGGTCTAGAATAGACTCACACCAGATTTTTGGTAAAGACACACACAAAAGATAGTCATTTTGATAAATGGTTCCAGAGTAATTGGATATCCATGAGCAAAAACGATGTTTGATCCATATCATATCCTACATACAAACATTAAGTCCAAAGGATCATATAAGTGAACATAAAATCTAAAACTATAAACCAAAGATGTCCTCAATCTAATCCAAAAAAGCATAATCCATTAAAAAGTAATAAGCTAAACTTCCTAAAAAGTAATAACATCTGATATTAAAAAGATAGTGTTAACAAAATAAAAAGACAAACCGGAGACTGGCAGAAAATATTTGTAAATTGAATGTCTGATAGAGGGATTGTGTCCAGAATATATTTGATATTTGATAAATACTACTTAATACTTGATAGGAAAACAAACAATAAAATAAAATATCTGAGCAAAAGAGTTGAACAAACACTTCATGAAATAAGAGACATAGATGGAAAATTGAACATAAAAAGATTCTCATCATCACTATTCATAAAAAAGGAAAATTAAAACTGAATTTAGAAATCACTATTAGAGTGACTAAAATTAGAATGTCTGACCACATCAAGTGTTGGGGAGGATATAAAAGGACTGAAAATCCTATCTGTTGTTGGTAGAAATGTTAAACAGTACAACCATTTTGGAAAGCAGTGTAGAAAGTTTAGTTTTTCTCTGAAAAACTAAATATACACCTACTACAAAGATGTGCACATACATTTTTATAATAACTTTATTTGTAATAACCCCAGACTGAAAACTTCCAAGTGTTCATTAATGAGTGAATGCATAAATAGGCTGTGGTATAGATAGATGAAGGAATATTAGTCAGAAAAATAAAAAAGAAATGAACTATTGATACCTATGAAACATGGATCACTGTTAAAATAATTGTGCTGGCCCTGGCTGAGTGGCTCAGTTGGCTGGAGAGTTATTGATCACATACACCACAGGTTGTGGGTTCGATCTCTGTTCAGGGCACATACCTAGGTTGTGGGTTTAATACCTGTCAAGGTGTGTATGACAGGCAATTGATCGATGTTTTTCTCTTTCTGTCTTTCTTACTCTTTCTTTCTCTCTTCCCCACCCTCTCCTTACTCGCTTTCCAAAATCAATACACATATCCCCTTGGGTGAGGATTAAAAAATAATAATTATGCTGAATAGTACAAGCTGAACAAAAATGAGTACATGCTGTATGATTCCATGTATGTAAAATTTCAGAAAATGCAAACCTATTATAGTGACACAAAGTTGACTTGTGGTTGTCTCAAAGAGGGCATGCTGAAAGTGTCAATAAAAAAGATTACGGACTTCCGGCCAAGATGGAGGCATAGGTAGACACACTGTGCTTCCTCGCACAATCAAGATAGGAGCAACAATAATTCATAAATAGAATAACAACCAGAACTGACGGAGAATTAAACTATATGGAAGTTGGACAATCAAGGAGTTAAAATAGACATGTTCATCCAGACAGGTAGGAGGAGCGGAGTTGGGCAGCCGGGTGGAGATGGGTCACTCGGCACAAAGAGTATTGGAACCAGGCATGTAAGACCCCAGCCAGCAGATCCTGGGCATGCAAGCAGCGGCTGGCAAACCCTGTCTGAGGAGTGGCAACCTGCAGACCCAGCAAGGCAATGATTGTGAAGCAAGACACTGTGTGCAACCCAGGATCCCAGCACTGGGAAATAGAGCCTTGGGACACTGTTGGAAACACCTGTGGGGGGTTGAGACACAGGGAGAGACTTCCAGTCTCACAGGAGAAGTCATTGGAAAGTCCCACAGGGTGCACAAACCCACCCACATGGGAATCAGCACCAGAAAGGTCCAGTTTGCTTGGGGGAAGTGGTGGAAGGGACTGAAGTCCCACAGAGAGCAGAGCAAGTGCCACTGTTCTCTCTTGGACCCCACCCCAACATACAGCATCACAACCCAGGGACTGGGGTGCCCCACCGGGGTGAACACCTAAGGCTCTGACCCTCATATGTAACAGGCGTGACCAGACCAAAAAAAAAAAAGATGGCTCAAACAGAATAAGAAATGAAAGCCCCAGAACCGATCCTTTTAAGCGACTGAGAGATAGCCAACCTATGAGATGCACAATTCAAAACACTGGTGATCAGGATGCTCACAGAATTGGTTGAATTTGGTCACAAATTAGATGAAAAAATGAAGGCTAAAATAAGTGAAATGAAGAAAAATGCAAAGGGAACCAATAGTGATGAAAAGAAAGCTGGGTCTCACATTAATGGAGTGGACCAGAAGGAAGAAAACAACATACAAAGTCAGAAAAGAATGAAGAAATAAGAATTCAAAAAAATGAGGAGAGGCTTAGGAACCTCCAGGATATCTTTAAACATCCCAACATCCGAATTATAGGGGTACCAGAAGGGGAAGAGGAAGAGCAACAAGTGGAAAAGTTATTTGAGCAAATAATGAAGGAGAACTCCCCCAATCTGGCAAAGGGAATAGACTTTCAGGAAGTCCAGGAAGCTCAGAGAGTCCCAAAGAAGTTGGACCCAAGGAGGATCATACCAAGGCACATCATAATTACATTAGCCAAGGTAAAAATGAAGGAGAGAATCCTAGAAGCAGCAAGAGATAAGGGGATAGTAACCTCCAAAAGAATTCCCATCAGACTGTCAGCTGATTTCTCCAAAGAGACCTTACAGGCAAGAAGAGGCTGGCAAGAAGTATTCCAAGTCATGAAAAGCAAGGACCTACACCCAAGATTGCTCTATCTAGCAAAGCTTTCATTTAGCATGGAAGGGCAGATAAAGTGCTTCTCAGATAAGGCCAAGTTAAAGGAGTTCATCATCACCAAGCTCTTATTTTATGAAATGTTAAAGGCACTTATCTAAGAAAAAGAAGATAAAAAACATGTATAGTAAAAGTGACAGCAAACTCACAATTATTAACAACCACACCTAAAACAAAAACAAAGCAAACAACTAGAACAGGAACAGAGCCACAGAAATGGAGATCACATGGAGGGTTAGCAACCCCCAGTGGGAGGAGGAGAGAGCGGGACAAGGTATGGAGAATAAGTAGCATAGATGGTAGGTAGAAAATAGACAGGGGGAGGGCAAGAATAGTATGGGAAATGTAGCAGCTAAAGAACTTATGACACATGGACATGAACTAAAGGTGGGGAATGTGGGTGGGACAGGGTGTGCAGGGTGAAGGGGAGTGAAGGGGGGGTAATGGGACAACTGTAATAGCATAATCAATAAAATATATTACAAAAAAGATTACAATGGTGTATGGGGAAACATTTGGTGTTGATGGTTATGTCCATCATCTTGAACATATTTGTGGTTTCATGGATGTGTATGGTATCAAAATTTATCAAACTGCATACTTTAAATATATGCATTTTAATATATGTCCATTTTATCTACATAAATCTGTTTAAAAAGCACAAAAATCTGTTACCTTTTATTCACACCCTGTGGATCTGTTTATAAGATACCTTGGATAGATAGCTGAAAATAATTTGACACAGATAGAAAAGATGGAGAGCATAGAGACACTAGTTCTCCAGGAGGGTAATGATTCAGAGTGGGCAGCAGGGAATGACCAAAGGTAAACTTGCTTACATCACAAAGCACATCTTGAGCCAGTCGTACACATGCTCCTTACCTGAAGACTGGGAATCTCCTACACTTATCAGCCTTGTGTCATTATCCATGTTTCCTTTGGATCCAAAAAGTACAGATTGGTCATTGAGAACACACTTGATTCAAGATCCCTGCCCACTACTTGCATTTAGCCTTAATAGTATAAAGGAATATCTAAAATGAAAATACAACATTAATATGAAAGTATGTAAAAAGTTCCTCAGAAATCTGATCATTAAATGCCATTCAGAAATCATTCTCTATCACTGCAGTTTGAGGAGTCCCTGGAGGTAGTTAAGACTTTGAAATAATTTGGACTAGATTCAATGCAAAGAAAGTAAGATTCAGTGGTTTATGAAGGCAACTGTTTGAGTCTTTACAGCATCACCCTGACCTACCAAAACATTGACCATTATGGTTCCCAGCCACCAGTCCAATTTAAAAAAAATGAGCATGAGATGGAAACTTAGACTTTAGTAAAATAATATGAATTTGCTTTAATAATAATAATTCAATAATATGTAATATTTATTGTGTTTTACTATATGGTAGGCCTATTTCTGAGCTCTTAAATGCTATGATTTAATTTAAACTTACAACATTATCAAATAGGAGCTTACTATTATCATTAATTAACAAATGAGGCAACTTTAAAGTAACAGAGAGGTTAAAGACTTTCTTAAAGTAACACAGCCTATATGTGGCAGAGCATAGATACTAACAGGCTCTGTTTATTCAGCCACTCTGTTACATTTACAGCTTCTCTCTGTCCAGAATATTTCCATAAGTATTTTTATGCTAAACTTCTGCTTCCAGATATAGAAAGCAGAACTCAAGTTAAATGACAGCAAAAATGTGCTATTTGCATTATTCTAAGATGATTATAATCTTGTAATATAATTTGACAGAGGTGAGGATAAAATAAATATAGGCATGACAGCCTATATTTTCAAAGCCACCTGGCTGGGAAACAAACAGAAAGTAAAGGGTTGGTAAATTTTTGAAAGCTGGCCTATAAGTTATCAAGTTCTCTTTAGTTCTGTATTTTGAAGTTTATAATGTATATTTTTTCACATCTCCAAAACAATTTCAGGAGCCAAGCAGATTGTGTGTGTGCGTGTGTGTGTGTGTGTGTGTGGAGATAGAGATAGATAGAGAGAGAGAGAGAGAGAGAGAGGGAGAGAGAGAGAGAGAGAAACAGATATTGGGGAAACTGGATGGATTTTTCTTCAATGTGCCATTTTAAAACCATAAATTTTGCCACCAGTTAGCCTTGGTGGCAAACTAATGCTAATTACTGCTAACTAATGCTAATTACAAACCATACTCCAAACCCAGGTTCACTTACTAGTTTGTGCTGTGTTGGCTAAGAGTTGTCTGATGGAAGTTGGCAACCATATGGCTGTTTCAAGCTGTAGTCCGTCTGTGCTTGCTATTCTGTGATCCAGGTTGAAGAGGCAGCTTTTCCAGAAGCTCTTCTCATGGAGATATCAGAAGTGTGGGGCAGTAAGCCCAACTACTCAGCATGTCTCAGGTGGAAGTTAATCACATTGGCTGAAGCTCATCTCCTAGCTGACAAAGTCGGGGAAGTACACTTTATCTCCAGTGAGAGGAACCTGTTACATCACAAGACAAAGGCTTTGATATACACTAGAAACCTATAAAATTTTATTAAACAATGTTACCTCAACAAATTAAGTAAAAATATTTTTTAAAGAGGAATGAATTGTCAATAACTGACAAACCATAACTTGCTGGCTGGAGCATTTCTTGAGCTCTTCTGGTCAAATGTCACCATTGATCTGTTTGTTTTTTTAATTAATCTCTTAGATATGTTTGCATTATTTTGATTTTAAATTAAGCAGTTTACTTAAGAGTGCTGTTTTCAGCCTTTTCCCATTTTCTCTTATGGGCAATATAGCATCTTCAACTTAAATAAGGTTAATCACTTTTCAAAATGAGTTCCATATAAACTTTTCCTATTTCTCATGTGTATTATCGCTTTTCTTTTTTCTTCACCTTTGGTACATTTATACACCCACTTATGCTGGTCCTGTCATGTTTTGCAAAAGGAAACGCTACAGAGTAGAACAACTTAACTTTGGAGGAATAAACTTATATAACACTACAATGAATCCATATAAGTAGTTGGAGCCATAATATTAAAGGCAAAGGTCCTGTTTTAATCGCTGTACTTTATAAATGAGGAAAATAAATTAAGTATAAATTAGTTAATTATTCAATTTTACTCAGCTGATTAGTGTCAAGTTCTGATTCTGCATTTGCCAATTTATTTTTTCTACATGTATGTCTAACTTTGTAGATAAATGTGATTGAGATTTGAAAGCTTGTTCTCAACTTTTATAAAATGTTCAAATCAGAAACTGGGGACTCATTCAATTTGTTTAAATTTTTATCCACAAATAACATTGATCAGAATTATACATAAATATCTCTCTGATTTGTATCCTCTATCTCATCACAATTTTACTAATTATTTTAATGCCTTATTTCTTCTAAATCAGACATTTTATGTTAGCCTCTAAAGTAATTACTCCACCTCTAGTCCAATCTCTATCTTCTCTTTCAACTCAACTTTCACATTACTGGAAGAATTGTTTCTTTCTAGAATGCAAATCTATTCATAAGCTTCATTGCTTAATTTTTTTTCAATTCTATTATCTCCAAATCAAAATTAAGCTCCTTAGAATGACCCTTGGCAATTCAAATGTTGAATTACATTATCCTGTTTATCTCTCTTCCTCTTTTTCCATACTGGATTTTGCATAATTTTTCAAATATTCACATTCTTTCACTTTTCCATGCCTTAGCACATGCTGATAATTCTACCTGAGGCACCCTCCTCCCATTGCCTACCCAGCTCAAGAGTTGCCTCCAGTGAAAACAAACAAACAAACAACCATCTCTCTTAAGTCTTCACCTTCCCCATCATACTACCAATTTAGGCTCTTTATTACAGAATTTACCATTTTAAATTATAATTGTTCATATCTGTCTCCTTTAAGGTACTAGAAGCTTCAAGATGGGAAGAAATCTATCTATTCACTTTTGTATTGCCACATAGTGATTGACCCAAAATAGAATGCTAAACCTAGTGTTCGATGAATCAGTAAATTAATGTACTCAGTCCTTTTTACACAGTTTCTGGTTCAGCCTAGTTGGACCCATCCATACTCTCTAAAACCAAATCTCTTTTAATGACAAAATGTGAATTTGTTCCTTATCAGATGTATCATTGTAGAATATGTTTTTCCATTTAGTGTGTTGTGTTTTCATTTTGTTGATGGGTTCTTTGCTGTGCAAAAGCTTTTTAGTTTTATGTAGTGTCATTTATTTTTCTTTTATTTTCCTTGCCCGAGGAAATATATCAGAAAATGTTACTATAAGAAATGTCTGAGATTTTTACAGCCTGTTTTCTTCTAGGATTTTTATGGTTTTCTGTCTAAAATTTAAGTTTTTAACCATTTTGAGTTTATTCTTGTGTACAGTGTAAGCAGGCGTGGTTTCATTATTTTTTGGATGTATCTGTCCAGTTTTCACAACATCATTCATTGAATAAGCTGTCTTTACCCCACCCTATGTTCTTGCTTTTTTGTCAAATATTCATTGAACATAAATGTGTAGGTTTATGTCTGGGCTCTATATTGTTCCATTGATCTATATGTCTGTTTTTATTCCAGTACAATGCTATATTTTTTCCTACCTTGTCCTCCAGCTCATTGATTAGATCCTCTGCTATGCTGTTTTGATCACTCTGGTCTTGTAGTATAGTTTCATATCAGGTAGCATGATCCTGCAGCTTTTTTCTTCTTTCTCAAGATTGCTGAGGCTATTTTGGGTCTTTTGTGATTCCACATAAATTTTTGTAATATTTGTTCTAGTTTTATGAAATAAGCCATTAGTATTTTGAAAAAAAATTGCATCATGTCTATATATTGCTTTGGATAGTATGGACATTTTAATAACATTAATTCTTCTATTCATGAACACAGTAAATGCCTTCACTGACTTGTATCTTCTATAATTTTATTCTTCATTGTCTTATAATTTTCATAGTACAGATCTTTTACATGCTTGGTTAAATTTATTCCCTGGTATTTTATTTTTTGATGGAATTGTAAATGGAATTGTTTATGTAATTTCTCTTTCTGATAGTTCATTATTGGCATATATAAATGAAACTGATGTCTGGATATTTATTTTGTATTTTGCTACTTTATTGAATTCACTTATTAGTTCTAATAGTTTTTTTTAATGGAATCCTTAGGGTTCTCAATATACAGTATTTTTTCACCTGCAGATAATGTCAATTTCACTTCTTCCTTTTCAGTTTGGGTGCCTTTTATTTCTTCTTTTTGTATGATTCTTGATTCCGGTACTATAATGAATAACATTCATAAATGAGGACACTCCTGTCTTGTTCTCAGTCTTAAAGAGAATACTTGTAGTTTTTGCTCAATGAGGATGATGTTGGCTATGAGTTTGTCATACATGGCCTTTCTTATGTTGAGGTATGTTCCTTTTATTCTTACTTTGCTGAGAGTTTGATCATAAATGAGTGATGGATTTTATCAAATGCATTTTATGCATTTATTGATATAATTATGTGTGTTTTATCCTTCATTTTGTTTATGTGATACATCACATTTATTAATTTGCAAAGATTGTATCAACCTTGCATTCAGAAAAAATTCCACTTGGTCACAGTATTTGATCTTTTTAATGTATTGCTGGATCTGGTTAACTAGTATTTTGTTGAGTATTTTAGCATCTATGTTCACCAGGAATATTGGCCTATAATTTTCTTTTTTTTTTCTGTAGTGTCTTTGTCTGGTTTTGAAATTAGGATAATGCTGGTATCATAAAATGAGCTCAGGAATCTTCCCTCCTCTTGAAATAGTTTGAGAAAGACTGTTTGTGAAAGGTGTTAGTTCTTGTTGAAATGTTTGGTAAAATTCACCTGTGTAGAGATCAGGTCCAGGACTTTTGTATGTTGGGAATTTTTTGATTACTGCTTCAACTTCACTAGGTGTAATCTATCTATTCAGAT